TATTTGCATGTGAGTACATTTGAACCCGTGCTCCCGTAAGCATCAAATAATAAAAAATCAAACTCATCTCCTTCAGGGCAAGTTCCACAACCAGTCCTACGGCACTGTCACCGTCCTGTATAACGACACCTTGAACAGTTTGGTTTTGACATATGGCTGGGCCACTTGGCAGCTCATACCCAGACGCACCCCAACAGATAGCCGTGAGCTTTTCTTTGCAAAGGGCATCGAGCTCACAATTGCGTACGATCTCGACCCCATAGAGTTTCGCAAAGGAGTTTCCAGAATGGAGAGGATGGTAGCAACAGGGTTCGAAGTCAATGCACCGCCTGTGTTCGAGAGGGACTCTCAGACGCGAAAGGCTGGGAAGCCACCTGGTAACTCAGCATCCGGACTTAGTGTTTCTCACGTTCTCTTGATTGTGGCTCTCGCATGGAGCACGTGCTTTATTGTTGAGCTGATAATATAGGACCAGCCTCTTTGAGTTCCCACATTTCCGCAACTCGTGGCCTACTCTGTTAATTTTCTTTTCTTTCTGTTTTTGAAAGAAAAGCCTCCAAAAGTTCCCATTGTCTCCCAAATTGTGACTTACTCTGTTTAAATGTTTTTCTTTTAATCCTATAACTTATGGTATTTTTTCTTCTGTGTCAAGAGCCAGATCTGAAACAGCAATCGGCTGACATGGTCGTCACATGATTAAATCTCCGCATATTGATAATTTTTGCCATTATTCTATTACAGTGAACTGATAACAGAACAAGCAGAAGGCCAATCTGTATTCAATAATCAACACTTTATTGTTTTCTTCCTTTTTATTAAACTTTCAAAATACAAACAACATATTATTTATTTACATCTGACAACTCCTTGTACACTTATAAAAATGTGTTTTCGCTAGAAAATATCACATACAAACGTCTATCACATGTATTTTTGATTAAATGGGATGGGAGGGTTTAAGTATTGGGTGGGGCCTACGACAGGAAAGTCTGTTTGATTTCAGGAAGTGTCTGATCAGTCGTGAGGGAAAAAAAAGTTGATTAAACTTACATGTCACAGAACTATTCCAACATTGACACACATCCCCATTAAGTTACTACATGTAGTACATGTACTGACAAACGCAACAATCCTTACTTAATGTCTTTTTGAAGGCTCTAGGGCGGGCAGTTATTTATCATACAAAAGTTTCCCCCTTTTCTCATTAGAGAAAACAAAAGCACACGTTTCTTCTCACAAAACATTCACTCTAGAGAAAAGTTCAATGAAAGATATTCTCATTTTGAGTCCTAAGGTTATCTCGCCTTAGCTTACTTCTTAGGAAACGATCATCTATCATTATTGACTAACCGAACCACTGACGAAGAAATCCATTTCAGAAAATATACAGTACTGGTAGCCTATACAATTTTGTATTTTACCAAAAGTGTGAGGACAAAGAGAAACAACGGAAATAAGGAATTGACATGAAAACAAACTGGAAAACAGGACCAATTGTGGAAGCACTTTGGAAAGTCACAGCATTTGATTGAAATTAATGTCGTATCGGAAGTAGTCTATTTTTTTCACTGCGGGGTGGGGGGGGGGGGGGGGGGGACCTCTCTATGCTTTTTATTGTGTTTCCAAAGTGTTTATTTTTCAAAAATTAAATAAAATTTGGGAAAATGATTACTCCTCTGTCTTCGTCTTCATGTTGTCAGTTTGCAAAATGGAAATCCCACTTATCTAAGTTACTTTATTGAATGCCAAACGGTTTTCAACAATTAGAATTTTAATGGAGATGTGTAGGCCTACTGATGATTTATTATAATGATGTGGTTGCAAATTGTTCTGTAAAACTAAATATTCTTTAATATAACAATATTTCAAACTCAACGCACAGATAGTTATTTCATCTCTTCCTCACTTACGTGAATGCATAGTTTGACGATTTTCTGCTCCAGTCTGTTCTTTGCCAGTAGGCTACTTTATTTTTTTCTTCATCTTTGTTTTCACCGTAGAAGCAATGGTTTCTGAGAATGTGTTTGATAAGAACTGCCCGAGACTGAAATGGAACTGTAATGGAAGAAATGGTCTTTCTATATATGGCAAATCCATAAGCTTCATGTTATAACGGAACAAATTCACAATCTAACCAGATAACAGAGGTTCAATACATCAATTAAAAAAAAACAACCAAAAACAACCCCTCCTAAAAAACAACAACCCCAGAAACAACAAAAACCCAGCTTACCTATCTCTATCAAAGAACTGACAATTTAACTTAATTTATATCAGGGAAGAGGCCAGCATATGTATAAATTACATTGGAAAGCCTATAGTTTGCATGCACATAGTGGCTCATTATGTTCCTGTAAACCGGAACCCCAGATATAAGGGCAGCTGCTGTGGCACAATGATTTGCAACCTTCATTTGCCTCTTGGAAGTTCAAGGTTTGAATCTGAATGGCATCACAGTAATTTTTCTCATGTTCCTGAACTGAAACCTCTCCTCTCAGACTAGTATCTCAATAAAGTTCCAAGTGCTATGCCTTCAAGATGTCATGACTTGTGTTGAACATGGCAACCAACTTCAACAACACTAACACTTTAGATGAGGCAGGAAAATATCTCCACAGTTCAAGCTCATTCCACTATGCGTTTCTTGGATTTTTCTTAAAATGGTATATAATTTCTTAAGAGAGTGTCACAGACTCCTACCTTCATACACTGCATTTTTAATACAACGAGTTCATGAAATAGATTGTAATGTATTATATTTCTCTGGAATCAATAAATCATAATATTATTTAATATTGATATTCATTCATTGCACCCAATTTTCAGATATTACCCTAGGATGAAAAAATGTTTTTCATGAAATTTACAGATTGTACATGCTTGAAGAGCTTTTACATAAAATGACAGTTTGATTATTTATACAAAAAAACCCATAACACATAAAGGGTTAACCATTCTACTCTATATCACTGGACAAGCTGCATAGTTCCAGGTGCTTTCCCTCTGACAATTTCTTATAACTGTAAGAGTAAATGCAAAGTTAAGTATATGTAGGGGTTAAACACCCCTATTAACACTATTAGTTATTTTAAGAGGTGAGGCCTCCGAATTTAACTAACATCCCTCTCCGATAGGACTGAGCCAAAAGGGTTGAGAGCCTTGAAAACTCCGCAAATGAAACGTGCTCAAGAACGCCCAGTTTAGGATTTGAAACTACGGCCAACAGCATGATACCAACTGAGCAAGCAGAGCACCCACTTTAAAGACGATATCATAGATGGTAAGAATTTTTATTTTCTATCGTGGTCTACAATTCGAAAGAAAGATTAACACACATTTTATCCAATTCCGATTTTGGCCCACAATAACAGATAAGTGCATCTGGAACAATTTGAGACTCTTTGCACTTCTTTTTTGTTGATAACTGAATTGAACATAGCTATTTTCCCTTTTTTGCACCTTATAGGGGAGTTTTCCTGAATAATGGCTTCAAAATCATTGTTCTGAACTTTTGTATCTTTGGGCTAACTTCTTACATCGTAAATTCTTGAATCTACAATAGACTTATCTCTGTCTTTTCATCAGAAATACAAACAAACAAACAAACAAACAAACATACAAACAAACAAACAAACAGAAAACCAATCAAACTGAATGGAATTCCATTCTTCTCACAGATATCACAATAAATTCTCAATCGCGCATGTCCTGTATGTATCCCTAGTCACATGGGTTGATTTTTTTGTGCAGAGATAAATCAGAATGATTTACTTGTTGATATGTAATAAAACCTTCAGAGATCAGTACATTCCACGCCTCCATCATAGGATCATTACTCATTTTTAACTGAACATCTTTTGTTAACGGTTATGATAGTAACACAAATTAATGTCTTGACCCATAATTGTGGATTTTTTATCTAAAAATTTCAAAAACTATTTGTGTTGCATAATTAAGAGAACAGTTTGCTATATGGGAAGTGGAAAAGAACATTTTAGTTCAGATATGTTGGAAACCTTTACTACATCTGATGATGGACAAGTAATCACTGGCTTAAAATGTAAGGAAGTTTCGCAGTCATCTTTTCACAGTCCAACACAACAACTTTGCCTCCAAAGAATGTAAACTCCCTTTATATAAAGTCAAACATATAGTAGATGCTCATCATAACATTTAAAACAGAGATCACACAATGACCATGTCAGCACTTTAAAGAACTGTCTACCAACAAATGTAATATTAGGTGAAAGTGAGTTTGTTGTAAATGTCTGACTTCATCAGTATTTCAGTAGAGAACACCACAAGCATTTGGATAAAGTTATTAAGTAGATTATGCCAAATTTCCCTAACACATACACAATTTGTTTGAGGCAGGTCAGCAACATGGCATGAATATATTCATAATTCCTCATTTACTTTTGTTTAGAAAACGCTTACATTTACTCTTTTTTACATACTGATAATGTACAAATATTGGTCAAAGAACCTGTTCAGGTGAAAGCATGTTTACAATACATAGCTATTGCTGAAAATATTCATTGAACAGTGTGAACATACTATTTAAACTTTGGAAACTATAATCAAACTATTTTGTTACAAACACCTAAACATACAAAAGAGGGATGTAACCTAAAAAAAAAATCAACATTGTTGCGATATCATCATTTTTAACATGGTGTTAGCCACATATTATAGTCAGGGTCACCAGTTATTGTGTGAGCATAAAAAAGTATTTTGGCTATTTCACTGCACACCCAAATGTAACAAACAGAAGAACAATCTTATGTTGAACAGAGCTCTCAGAAAAGACAAAAAACATGTTTTTTAAAAGTGGCTTTAAGTATGCCATAAATGACTGTACAATGATCAATGTCAGTTAAACATGGAGGAATGTCATAAAATGAGTGGCTCATTACATATTTCACCAAAAGGAAAGGATATACCACCAAAATATGAAAAGAAAGGAAACAATACCAATAACTCTTGAATTTGACCATCAAAAAGACCACACACTCATAACGTTTGCAAGCCCAGCATACAGATATGCTCACACTCATATTTACTTGCAGACATGCATGCACATAATCTGACGCACAAACTTACCCAAAGACATAAACAAATACAAGTTTACTCCATTGAACTGAGAAGATTTTATCTGTACATAAAAAAGTATATTGTAAAAATCTATTGCACTTTGTAAACACTTGTATGAACCATTTGAAATTTGCTGACTGGAGGAAACAAACAGCCGTTTGTCCTGTTGATCTTAATACAACAATACGAAACACTGCATCAATGATTACAAGAACACCCACTGAACACATTTCATCATTTTGACTACAGAAGGTTCAAACAAGTAATTTGGCATTGAGTGATATGGTGCACGGCGTTTGAGAGAGGCAGTACAACTGCTATGTCTGCAAATGCTCGCTTATACTGTTGCCACGATTGGTATTAATTACAAATGTCCAGATATGATTCTGAGGTTTGCCATTAACATGTCATGGTGTCTGTTTATCTTTGACATTGCAGTCTCAGAAAAAAAAGTATTGTCATGGCAAGGTCTCCATAGTATTTAAAGAAATGTTTGTACCAAATCAGAAGAAATCTGTAACTTTAATTCCCAAAATATTGTCAACCAGCTGCTCGGATGTTCTAAACCCCTAATTTTGATTTAAAAAAAAAAAGCTGTTTCGAACTCTGTGGTATTGGTTGCATATGCTCAAGACATATTTTTTCCAAATTCAAATTCTAAATGTTGACAAAAGCAAAAATAAACACAAAGTAGGTGGTACAGTTGTTAAAAGAATGAAACAGCTTTTTCTGTCTTCTGAAAAAATTTGCTTCTGGGTTTAGGACAATTGAACAAATTGCTGGTGATATATCTGATAATTTTGATATAAGCCACTCACTAATCTCTTTAGCTTAACATTTAGATGTCTTAGAACAAAAAAAAACTGAGGCCAAAAGTACAAAGCTTCTTCTGCTGCTAAAGAAGTGTGTTTCCATATTTTTTGCCACTAACTAAAATAGTTTCAAGGGTACCATATAAAGTACATTTCTTTAGGAACAAACTGAAATAGTGTGTTTCATAAAGATAACATTTCCACAAATTATCTAACGGGCTGTACAAGATGCTCGTGACAGGATCACCTTTAAAAACTTCAGTAATTGTTGAGAAGTTCATTTCAAGTCTCATGAGTTGCAACAAAAGCCTGTTATGACACATCAACGTGCGTGCCATACTGAACGAAACTGGAGACCGTATTTTCTGATTTCCATGTCAACTGCCATCATGGAGATATCTGAATCACTGTGGTTTTTACCCGTACAGGGGAACTTTCAGGTATATTGTCAAATCATCCATATAGAGGAGAGAAAAAATCACAGATCATCTTTCAAAACTTGGCTTGACAAAAAGTTGAACTTTCTTGTCATTTCAACTTTCTTTAGTCATTGACAGTGCAAAATAAATGACCAGCATTAACTTCACACCAATGACTCACTTATTCAGTTTGAAGCTCAGTTTTGAGATTTTCTTGGAAAATGGAAGAGCTGGAGAACGCTCGGGAGGTTTGGGGGACATGGTCGGAGAGGGAGCTGTTGCCTTGGCGACCACTGCTGAGTTGTTTACTTGTGACGGAAAACTTATGGACCGGTGGAAAGTCTCTGAGGATGTGGAGGGGAAAAGAATTTATGAACACATAATAATACATAGGATACAGGTTTCAGAAAGTAGCAGTAGAAAATAATCTTTTACATGACGTATTTGTTGAACAATTTTTTTTGTTCAATCTCTTCGAATGATTAACTACTGGAATTGAAATAAGCAAGGTAGCTAAAAGAGACATGATGGAGTAAGGAAGATATGGACTACCATGGGTTCTAACTGTAGCATCAAAAAGTCAAGCAAAACACTTCAAGGAAAAAAATTGCAGTTCAAAAGAAATGATGGGTCGTATATTGCAATGTACAGATTCAGGTTGTGAGCTACTGCAATCAGTCAGGATGCTAACTCAAGCTGGGGTGATGTAGCAAAAAGTGAACAAAAATTCTTTGAACTGCAGCTAAAAAGCATCTATACATTGTATTATCTTTCTCTGCTCTTCACAGATGAAAAAACATGCAACCTATAACAATCAGTGCTTTCTTCGGGAGAGGTAGAGGCCCTACGAAATTTTAAAAAGAACAAACTGTTTCCTGCTACATTCTGCCTTACTAAAAAATTGGATAACTCAAAGACCAAGGGAAATGGTTTCCTCGAGTTTGAGTTTACAGGCTACAATCTCAACTCTTGTCTTTAAAAAAAAAACTAAACATAGAAAAACACAGACAGTAACTGCTTATAATACCTTGAGGCTGACAGCTTAAGAGCTTGTCTCCTTGAGTGGGATGTCTTGATAGGCGCTTTGAACCAAACCTCTTTGTGAAGTTGCCACCTTTAGATATGGAACCTTTCAAGTAACGCTTTTTCTCCTGAAACAAACAATGCACAAATTTATTGCAACATCTAAAGGAGACTGTGACAAAAGACTCACTATATCTTTTAAATAGGAGCAGAATGAAACAATGCAAAGCAAACAAAAGCCACACAGGTTGTTAGCTTTAATTTGTCAGTTAGATGGAACTGTGACCAATTTCTGCTTCTGGCCAAGTGTTTTTTTTATCATCTCCCATTTTTAACACGTAAACTTTTCACTCCCTCTATTCCTCATTTCTTTTCTACCTCAACATGAACACAATTCATAATAGGCATAACCTCTTGAAATATCTGTCCAGACACACTCTCCGTATACTAAGCTGTATCGTATACTTACATTATGAAACATAGTTCTCTTGTTAAAGGTATCTCAGTAGGGCTCTATATCCATCCTCATATAAGTTTTTCCATTACATAGGTTGAGGAACATCAATACATGCAACAGGCATTGAATCAGCATCTGTGGTCTAGCGGTTACACATTCCCCTGTTGCATGAAGGAGACCTGAGTTCAATTTAAGAGTACAGCTAATTTTTATCGAGTATCAAGGTCTTTTTTTCTGGGATGTTGCATCTTCATCATCCGGGGTTGGCTCTGGCAGCCAGCTTTGGAAGCCTGCATCCTAAATGATCTAGATGTGAAAATATCTACAGCAAAAAGACCCCAACCCCCCAAAAAATGAAAAGAAGAACCCCCCCCCAACCAAAAACAAACAAACAAACACACCCCCCACCAAAAACAAAAGAAGAACCCCCCCCCAACCAAAAACAAACAAACAAACAACCCCCCCCCCTTAAAAAACAAAAACAAAAACAAACAGGCATTGAGAGTAAGAAGAACTGAAGTGCAATACACTCTAAACATTAAACTGATTACCGTATTATAGTTGCTTCAAGGCCTCACTTACCTCCTCATCAATGCTGACCTCCATTCTACTCATCAGCACAAATCGACCGGCTGTTTTCCACTCATTCTGAGCCTGATACACGTTTTCATCATCAGCTAGGGTACGAGAACTGTCTCCCTTCTCACTGCCTGTGCGTTTGGAGGAGGTAGCTTGATGGGTTTCACTCTGGCTCGCCAGCTCCTCTAGAAGCACAAAGTCTCGGGGGTCTTCTGTATTGGCACGATGAGCTTTTTTCATTGCCTGAGGGGAAAGTTTACCACAGTGTTTACAACCACTGACCACTTGGAAGACAAATATTGAGAATAAAAAAAACAAATGGACAAGTTCAGCAATAGTTGAAACCTTGAGTCACATAAAGCGTTGATGAACAATCTGAAAAATATTCATTTTCCAATTTTTGTATCATATACTGCAAAACTGACCATCACTCTTAAGTACAAAGTGGCAGAGGTTAAAGAACAAATCAGCATCAAATTCACAATTTCTGAGAGATAATCTAGTTTCTTTGGCAATACTACGAGAAAGAGGGCTCTGCAGTTTCAAATGTGATGTCACAGGGCATTCACATCAGCTTTGCAAACTGAAACAATCTTAAAACTTTAGGACAAAACTATAGGCTGCTAAAGAAAAGGAAATTAAAACAAAGCCATGGATCCTGATGTCACGATATGTCCCCAACATTATATCAATACAGCACACTATTTTTGTCTGATCAGGTTCTCTTTTGCCATGTTATTGTATTCAGCTACCTGGGTGATGATGTCTTGGGCAGTGCTGGTCACTGGAGCCTTGAAGATTGTGTATGGCTGGTCAGGGGAAACGTTGAAGACACAGACAAGAAACATGTGCTCGGTCACTTCCCAGTCTGTGTTGGACTCTTCCATCTGCCGCTGTGGGAGGAGATAGATCACAGTTAATTCTAGCCCATCAAAGGATTTTGAAATGTTTGAAAATAACATACTCACGTTCCTTGGGATGTTTCCTGACAAAAAAAGAGGTATTATTTCATTATTTCAGTTCTTTTATGGAGTTTAGTATAGTATTTGCCAAGCAGCTTTATATTAAATGCAGGTTAAACAATTGATCAAAGTTATAAATTCTAGTTCAGCAATATCAGCCCAAATGCCCTAGCGCACCGTGTAATTGTGCTTTTCTCTGAGTAAAAAAATAAAAGCCACATTTATATATATATACAAGAGTTAAGGAGATAATGACAAAATGAAGAAAGTTACATGACAGACTTCATGTCTTGTAGTTTCCCAAGCAGAACATAGTGATAGGAGCTGACAGTTTTTCTAAAGCAAAATTAAGGATGTATATTTTGATAAGTAGACAAGAAGTCAAGCAGTATCTATTAATTAAAAAACCCCAAAAAACTTAAGCTGTTACATTGGGGAAAACGTGTCATTGCCTACTGTGATGGCAAAGTTCTAAATAAAATAGTTTGCAAGAAGCTTTGACGAGTTCAACAAGGAAAACAGACATTTTATAGAAACACTGTTTACCTTTTGCTCTTTCAGCATTGTAGTCATCCATGCTCTGCTGCTGGGATCCTAAGGGTGATGAAGAGATAAGGGAATTGATACTTTTATGATCTACAAGAAGAAAAATAATCTTTGTTTTGTTTTGTTTTATTTTCTTTCAAAAAGAAAAAAAAACCACCAATGACAAACCAACCCCCCCCCCCCCATGACATTATCGTAATACACATGAATTTTTTTTCAAATTTAAATCAGGACAAGGCAAATTGTATAAACCCTCGTCAGATATTACAGAACGAAGCTAAAAGAGGGTGTACAACATTGGAGAGTTGGGGTGGAAGAAATGTTGGGGTGGCTGTATTTGTGGGTTGGAGGGTGGAGGATAGGAGAGCAAAGGGGGCATGTTTATACTTGTCACAAACATATTTTTTTATCTGAAAACTTTGCAGAGGAAACTTTCAATTTAAATTCATAAACAGAAATTACGAATGTGGCAAGATGCATTTATTTATGAACTACTTGTAATGTGCAAAGATTTACATTATCAAACTATTAGATCTAGTTCACCATATTCACGTACATCACTGAGTCTGCGGAGTATAAATTTTCCTGCTCCTTTCCACTTGTTCTGTGCTGCCAAAACCTTCTCTCCGACATCCAGAATTCTCTGGCAACTGGCCTTTTCTTGGTCTTTCTTTTCCCATCCGCTTTGGACATCTTCCACTAATACGTAGTCTGCAACCTTTTCGTCAAGGCGACCAACTTTTGTCAAGGCCTGAATAAGAAAGTTTCATTTCACAGATTTTTCCCAGTATATAGAAAAAATACAAAAACAAGAAAACACAGAAAAAAGTAGGCCTGACACAAAATTTGACACCCATAAGCTTTGGGCGGATAGAAAGTGAACAACGAGTGCCTCATCTCAAACTAAACAAAAAGGTTTGTCATTGTCGGTGATTCATCAGCAAATGGTATTTAAAAAAAACTAAAAGTGATCAAAACACTATGAAAAGGAATCTGCTAATATGTAATCATAGATTCATAAATAAATTCAGCTGTGAAGAGAAACTATTCAGAATAGTGAGAGAAGTCTCATTAGAAAAGCAAATAAGAGAATCCTTTTGATTTTTGGTGATCTTTCAAGTGTGTTATACTCTTGGTCATTGACCTGAAATTAAGCATTTTAGAACAACATTATTCCAGTTCGATAGATGTATTTCAGATCATTAACCCAAACCAAAAGCTGACACTTTCTTGAATTGAAAAAAAGCCAAACAAACAGTTATGCCAACCTGAGCGATAGTGTCAGCGACAGTGGAATCCTGAGTGACTTTGAGAATGATATACTCATCTGGGGCTGTCACACCGAAGACGCTGATGAAGAACATTCTCCGCTTCAGTTTTGTCCCACTTGATGTCAAAATCTGAGATAAGAAGAAACACGCGCACACACACATTATGCTGTATCTTCTTCTTTGGCATTACGATATTCTGTAGAAATACTTTTGTCCACAATCAACATGGCTCAGCTTGTGATCACGTGCCTAATAAAATCTCCATCTTTCCATATCATTAAGTTTACGTACAAAATAAGTTTTAACCAAAATATTAAGAATAGAAAACATGAGCTTTAAAAAGTGTTATTTTTGTTAGCCTTGATATATCTTAAAAAATCAGCAACTCTTCAACTTAAAGTTTATACACGTTTATTAATATTTAAAAAAAATTGTCCTCTTTACCTCTTTGGAATCTTGCTTTGAAGCCTCCGACAGCTCCCGGACTTTGGAAAAGATGGACATTCGTTTGACCGAGGAGACCGTCAGACTGCTGATGTCCAGCCCATTCCTAGTTTCCAACAACTCTTCCTCATGTTTGGTATAGACAAACAGTGTGGACAGCTCCTGAGGCTGACCTGAGCCGTTTCTGAGGCGGACGTGTCGGTACCCAGGTCGCAGGCACTTGAGCGGAATGACCCTCTGTGTGACCATGTGGCTGGTGCTGGCATCGATTACCACGAACCGAATGAAGGCCAGGTCAGCAAACAAAATCTGTGAAAAGTAAAGTTGATTGAATATAAAATAATAATAATTATTTTGTATCTATTTAGCGCTTAACCACAATTAAAACACACAGGATTTGAGCGCTGCACAATACAACAGTAACGTATAAAAAGGAAGATTTTGTTCAGACTAAATATTGCCCTCTTTATATACAGAATCTATATAGGGCCTATCATTAATTTATAAATAGAATATAATTATGTATAAAACACTAAGCCTTGCTGCATTCATTTGACTACAAATGAACGAACCTAAGGAGTAAAGGAAAATCAATGAAGGGTGTGTATAAAAATATCATTGTTCCATCACAGTTCTTCCAAGTTGTTGAACTCAAAGGATCTACAAATGCTCTGATTTTTGTGTAAAGACATCAGCCAACAAGCTAAGATAAATGATCAAAGAGATTGCAGAAAACTCTACTAATCGCAGAGCACTGCTTGAATATTCAAAAGTTGTCTACTTTCTTTGGGCAAAATTATCATAGAAGAACACCAAACCTTCAAGCACTTTTAGACATGATCTCCAACTTATACTATATAATATCCTTTTCACAGGACAGATCTCAAGGTGATTATCTCAACGGAAACAGCAAAATAAACATGGTCAGACGGTTTTATCTTTGTTTGGTAAGAGTTTTACTGCACTTGGAACTGCATCAGGTCATATGAGCACCGGTTTGATCTAGATATCTAATGTTAGCATGGTTTTACCTGGAAGGTGAAAATGTCATTCCAGATGGGATTGAGCGCATTTTTCGGTACCACTTTGGTCTTCTGCTTTGCACAGTCCACAGGAATGCCTATAACTTCCACCTCGACTTGCACGTTAGTGGAGTAGTTCTGACACACATACTGGCCTGAGATAACCTGGAACACAAAGGAGTAAGTTTAAGTGGTGAACTGTTGCAATTAAAAGTCAAAAGATTGGTTTGGTTTTGCTCGGAGATTTAAAATTTACTAAAATCATACAGTCATCTATTTTCCAGGGAGGATTCGATAACAATTAATATAACCTCTATACGATGTGTATCAATGTTCATTGTAATACGAGACAAGAAGTCAGTTTGATATACGAGAATATTGGTATCGGAATGCAAGATCCTATCGATTGTCTTCATGAGTGAATGCATAATATACTATGTGGTGTATTAGTAAATGTTTATAATATGTAGCAGTAACTTGGACTAAATGTAGGTGTTACTTTTTAACACCCCCCATCGACACAATGTGGATAATTTAAGAGGCAGGGCCAGCCCAGGCTGAAAAACATAAAACATCATGGTGGAAAGACTGAAATACTCGATACAAATTTTCTCCCCATAAGGGATTGGAGCTCAGTTCTCCAATATGGGACAGCTAAGCACCTAACCGCTTCACCAGAAACGCCAGTATATGTGTTTGGTTGAGCATGTAACTTGTAAATGGGAGAGGTGGTATCATTTTTTTTCAGTTCTGAAACTTCGGCCTGTGATCTATCTGTCCCCGTGGTTTTATGCACCCCGCATAATTTAGCAAAATTTGATCATTTTTTGGATAATTTCTGATTATTTTCCTTTATCATTCTTTGCTAAAATTAACAGAATCGCATAATTTCACATTTTTGGGATCTGCATAATTTCAGAATTTTTCTTGCATAAAACGACGGGGACAGATCTATGAGAAGAGATAAAACCAAATTTCAAACTAAAAAATAAGTTAATATCCTCTTGAGACATGACACCATGGTGATCCAAATGTGACCTCACTGAGTGGATATCTCAGATGTGCCAAGTAAGTGAAGTAAGTAAGTGCTGAATGGAGGGCGGAGGTATAATAATCGTTTGGCGTAAGTTGGTGGGAACACCATTAGAGTTAAAAACACCGACGAATAAGAGCCTGAAAGACAAACAGAGTTGCCGTCTATACCTGCAAAGTTAGGATGGTAGTGTGCAGACCATCAAACTCTTTGTCCCATGGGTTGAACCTGTTGTACATCACGTGTGACTTGTCCCACATGACAGTGGGTTTGAGCACGTAGCCGCTCCGGCTGTTTTGCTCAAACATTGCAGTGTTCAAGGACATGGCCACATCTGGAACACGTAAGCAAAAGAGACCGTTGTACAAATTTCATGTAATATTAAAAGACTATATCCGGCCATGTTACACAAAGCATGCCGGAGGATAATTATTATAAATTGTGACGTGGTGTTTCAGCTAGGGGGAAAGGGGGTGCTAGGTGGTAAAATGGGATCTACACTAGTCCAGTATTCTAGATTAGAGACACTAGTCGGAATGGACAGCATGCAAAAAAAAAGGGGGAAAATCACTCAAAATTCAGTTGTCATTTATCCAATTGATTTATGATTGCATGCATACAAACAACACAGCCAGTACGCAAACATTAAACTAATACGTTATTGTTAGAGATTACATCATACTTATCACAGCATTACTACATACACGCAATGGTCCATTGCTGGGTGCCGCTATTCGCTGGCTAGTTTTTGAACCTGGGCAATTGTGTCTAGCCTATTCTTATTGAATCAGGCGTCTATTATAAGCCAAGAACAATTTATAAACCATGAAGCCTCTATGGCAGGGCTAGCCAATCGAGGGGGGGGGGGGTATCGCCCTCTCATGGGTGCTTTGGTAATTCTGGTGGGCGGTGGGGATCATCAGGATATGGACAGGTATTATTTAATGCCCCATTTGGAAACACAAGCACATTTACATGTTGGTCGATGATACGAAAATTTCACTCCCAAAAGGTGGTAAAAGTGAGCGCCAGCTATTAAAAGGTTGGCAAGCACTGCTCTATTATATAGGGTTCAGATATGAATCAAGGGCCAGTGACTCATATATATCACTTGTGTTATTGTGAAAGACTGCTGGAAACACATGTGACCAATAAAACTTTCTCCACAGTAACTGCAGGAGTTTCATAAGGTGAACTATTGGTTGTGGACACATATGATAGACATCATTATTACATGTATAAATCTTACCTTCAGTTTGATAGTTCAAGGCAACCATTTGTATGCCGAAAGCCCAAAAGATGACAGGGTTGAAGTTTGAAGAATCGATTCTCATCCCCGCTGGGTATGTTCTCATTAGCTGCCTTTCGGTGTGGCTGATACAAGTTAAGGACTGATATAACAACTTGTTGGACTCTGAACGAAACTATGGGTTGAAGCTGTGGCCATTGTTTTGGTACATAGGTCTTACATCCATGTTTCTTTAGCATGTTGGAATTGAAATTATGTTGTTGAAACACACTAAAACGAATAACGTAATTTGCAATTGGAGCATTACTTTCTCTTTTGAATGTAGCCTATATGGAAAAGAAATTATGTAGACATGCACATCTCACATAAACACTCACACAAGGCAAGGGCTTTCTCTATTTGTCTCTTTATTTCTCTTTCTCTCTCAGTCTCTCTGTCAATGGTATGAATAAACACATACACACAAACACACACACAAACACACACACACACATAAACACACAATCACACACAGACAAACACATACACTACAAAAATACAATAAATACTTATAGATGAATACGAAATTTTGTGGAATCAATGAACCATTCAATGCAATAAGATTATTTAAGATGTAGGATAGCGCTCTTTAATCTTGCCCTGGAAGAGAAACAGGATGACAAA